GTACCAAGTGACGAATCCCACGACTCCAATCAGTCAACCTCTCCAGACTCACAACATATCACCATGGAACCAAAGATTATTGCTTTCGAGAGCTGCTTGAAGACACTTTTTGCAAGAGTTGTATGCACTGAATGTGGAGAGCCTATATCTTCTGACGAGTCAACAATTTTATATAATGGTACTGCCATGAAAGTCAAATTTCTGTGTATGAGAGGTCATCTAACATCTTGGGAGTCACAACCGTTAGTCAATAGTAAACCTGCTGGTAATTTAATGGTCGCAACAGCAATCATCCTGTCTGGAGAAACCTTCTCAAGGATTTCCCACTTTGCAGACATTCTTTCCCTTAAGTTCATTGGACATACCCAGTACTATAGCATACAGAAGGATATAGCCATCCCAGCCATAGACAATTATTACAGCCTGCAACGAGACGTTGTTCTTCAGCAACTTCAGGGTAGGCAGCTTGTCCTTGGGGGAGATGGCCGTTGTGACAGTCCTGGCTACTCAGCAAAGTATTGTACATACACTTTCATGGACACACTAACGGGAGTCATTCCAGATTTCAGTTTAGTCCAGGTCACCGAGACAACATCGTCTACAAAGATGGAGTTGATAGGTTTTCAGCGTTCCCTTAGTAATATTGAGGATGCAAATCTTGCAGTTGACGTAGTTGTAACGGACAGGCACGTGCAGATACGAAAAGCAATGGCAACTGACCACAGCAATAAAAACCACCAGTTTGATGTATGGCACCTTTCAAAGTCGATAAAGAAGAAAATCCTCGCCATTAAACCAAAGAAGTTACTATCAGAAGTGAAGCCATGGATTCCATCTATCTTGAACCATGTCTGGTGGTGTTCCCGAGAAGCTGAAGGTAACCCAGATAAGCTGGAAGAGACGTGGACAAGCTTGTTATACCACATATCTAACAGACACACATTTCCAGGAAAGCTAGTAACCAAATGTGGACACCCCCCATTGAGCGAGGATGCAATAAGAAAAAAGAAATGGATGGCCAAAGACAGTCCTGCCTACGAAGCCTTAGAGAACGTGATCACCAACAAACTGATCCTGCGAGATATTCGTCACTTAGATCGATTTTGCCATACAGGAGCGTTAGAGACGTATCACTCTATGATGCTAAAATACTGCCCAAAGCGCATGGAATTTGACTACCCATCCATGGTTGCCAGAACTCAGCTAGCTGTTGTAGACAACAATGTCAATATCGGAAGGAAGCAAAAGATTGGCGCCAATGGTACGCTGTCCTTCACGACTCGCTGTCCAAAAAGCACTGGCAGATGGACAGCACGTAAAGTGTATGAAAAGAAGGAATATGACTTCAAAACAGATATCATGCAGTCTGCCATCACAAACCAGCAGGATGGAACTCAGAAGAAAACGCTACACCAACTCAAGTCACTCACACTGCCGAGAAACATTAGCAAGGACCCTACACCTTGTAAGGAGGACCTGGTCGACAGCCACAGATCTCGATTTTTCTAGTTACATGACTTTGCGTGGATCTAATGAACAATTTGAAGCTTTTTGTACTTATAATATAAAATCAAGTAATAAGTATAATATAATATCAACTAATAAGTGTAATATATTTTTGGTATATAAAGTCCGCAAGTATACAAAATTATATGTTTGCTTGAATGAATGAAGTAAGGGCATCCTGAGTTCGTTGAATAACCAAATAGAGAACAAAGAATGAACGATGAAAGGGGGAATAGTCATGTTAAAGGAGCGGAAATAAAGAGTAGCCGAGTGAAAAAAAAATTGAATAGAGAAAAATAGATAATGAGCGACGATAGGGGGAAATAGCCATTGTAAAGGAGCGGAGATAAAGAGTAGCCGAGTGAAAAAAAAATGTTAGCTTGACAAAGTTATTGCTTGCTTTGATATTTTTAGTTACTAGCATACAAAAATACACATCGTGTACATAATTGGTATTCACGTGCACTACACTTGATGTGTTAAGTTTCTGCATTGCATGGTTAAAAATAATTATGTATCATGAACTATATATATATGAGGAAATGTCAGTTTAAAAATGTGTGAATCTATTTAATCATTTGTTATATGGTAGTGTCACTGTGTTTCTTTGTTAAATTTATTTAGTTTGTTAATGATTGTGTAAATAATAATAGATATGTATGAAACTTCATACTCGTTTAGTTATTTTAGTGTTACAATAAATATATACAGGACCCTGTAATACTAGTACGAGTATAGCATGTGAAAATTCCCACACAATATCATTGTATTGGGGAAAAAAACTGTTCATACAGATTGACAATTCATGTTCCGACAATCATGTAATATTTGCCACATGACGCTCATATTGCTTTCTACTATCATCATCTTCTTCATCAAATATTGCTGTTAACAACGATGGTCCACACAAAAAAAAAAGGAAATATATACAATCAGAGCTTCTCCGTGATATACACTTGTGAAATGTATAGACGAAATTCGGTATTGAGAAGTGAAATTACATCTCACAAACATTATCTTTGAATTACGATTTTGAGCGAACACACACCAAACCAATAAAAACGTATAGCAAGATACATAACCATGCAGGCATTAAGTTTTCGTCAGGTACAAGATAAATAATCGCTCTCATAAACGTACATGCGTGCAGTTTATGATATCAAGCATAAGAGGTCGATGTCTGTAGATCATTGTTCAGTTCGTTTACTGACTGTTCAGAGTCAGACATGTCACTTATTCATTCTTGGAAGCATTCGTGTACCCCATCCGACGATAGGAACTCTTTTCCGATAGTGTTGACAACTATGCTTGTATGGTGATTCTGTTTTTCTGGGCAAGTGGTTGGCTTCCCCTGACCCAACAAACAAACAAACGATACGCTATTAGTCTGCTTTGTCCTTTAGAAAGAACCTCTGGAGGTCGTCTTCAACGGCGCTTATACATCAGAAAAAGTATACTAGTACAGCTTGTTTCAAGGAGACGAACTGTTCTAAAATCGTCATTGTCAGCAATACATTACTAAGCTATGCCATTAGTTACTACAATTACTATTTTGGATTAATGACGGCTACCCTGTAGAGTATTACACTAAATTATAATATAATATAAAAATGATTATATTTAATTTTCATATGTTCAAACCGTTAAAGACAATTAGAACACCTCATACAAAAAACAGATCAAAAGAAAAAAAAGAAAATAAAAATTTCCAGACGGAATAAACAATTATTTTAATAGCTTAGATTTATAATGAATGAAATAAATGATATTTGGCATCTTCACAAATAATTATTCTAAGAGATTGTTGGTTGAATTTAATTATGTAGGAATGAAATTTTTTAAAACGATAAAAAAAATCATGCATGTTATACTATTGTATTTTTTCAATAAAAACTTTTAAATTGCGATAGTTTTACGATTGTTAGCATTTAAACATCGCTAGATTTAAATACAAGTTCAAGAATTCCGGTAAAGTAAATTAAACAGATGTGCAATTATTAATTGGGAAGTGTTAAATTAATTTTCTTTTAACTTCATATTTCAATTTTATGCTAATTGCATAGAGCGTAATCGAAAATTGTTTGATTTTAAAATACACTTCCGGAATTAAAAAAGTGAATGTTTATTTTCAATTAATTTATACATTTTAATTTATGTTTCTCTATTGTCATCGGGTATTTCAGCTTGGTGTATTAAACACGCTATACTCTTTCTGTTAATCCATTCAAAATGACAACATTCACACCTGTGTACGCCTGAGGCTAAATTGCTGCAAGGTAAAGTTCAAACGAATTCTCCTCAAATCGATAAATAAACAATGACTTCACAAAATAATATGCACACTCTGTTCACAAATATTTTGCCTTGAAATGGTTACCAAAGTTATAACGGTAAGTAAAACGTAAAATATTTTAATATCAGTCAAAATGTTCAACAGATATTTTATGAAAAATTCTCAACAATAATTTATGAAATAAATTCGAAAATATTTATATTTAGATAACTTCATATAGGAAGTTTTATTCAATCAATACAAAACGGTACACACATATTCATTTTCTTTCATACTTATATTGTGGTTATTAACTACGACCAACGGTCATCTGTGCGCTTTTAATTACGTAAAATTCTGATAAGCAATTAAGACTTTAACCGATTTTATTTTTTCCCATGATTCAACAATTCGGGTTAAAACGTCACAACCCAGTGACGTAGGTCAACCAAAAAAGTTACAAATACTTGATTTTCTCCGTTATTAGAAAGAATATAAATTTAAAACTTTGTGAATGTGTTTTTTATGTTAAGATGAACATATTTAGATGATAAGTAAAAAATCGCGGACTTTCCCTTTAAAACTCTTTTAATCATACCTTTGAAATAAGAGGCAAAACAAACAACCACATGCACGAATCTCTAATGAAATAATCTGCTTTCACTGGCATTTTTAAACGCGATGTATCACGCCGAAAGTATAATCAATCTTATTGAAATTCGGATCCTGTTTCCACGCTTTGCTTACAATCATCTGATAAACGCTCCGTTGTACTTTCTGCTTTTAAGATCTTTCGAGATCCTCTGGTTTTGTCATAATGATACACACTTTCAAAATTAAGTAGGCTGAAAATTAATTGGCTGATTTAATAACTACTATACTAGAACAGATAGTATCAATCTGATTAAAATACAGATCCTGTGTCCAAGCTTTGCTCACAAGGATTTAAAAAAAACTCCGTTCTACTTTCTGTTTTAATTACCTTTCGTGATTCTCTATTTTTGTCGGATTGATACACGCCTTTAAAAATTTGAAGGCAAAAAATGCATTGGCTAATGTAAAATTTATCAGAACAGAAAGTAGAATGGAGCGTTTTAAGATCCTTGTAAGCAAAGCTGAGACACAGGATCTGTAGTTTAATCAAATTTGATCTGCATTTAAATCAGATTGATAGTGTAATAACAATTTTTAAGACCATGTCATCGTTTTTCTCTTATTTTAGAGACTCCTGAACTGATTCTTGATTTTATATCAAGTAAACTGGGAACCAGTGATATAAAGTTTCTCGGAATACATCTTGGTCTCGATAGCAACGACCTTGAAACCATTTCCTGTGACTACAAGAATACTCACGAGGTTAAATTTCAGACCTTATGGAAATGGTTTAGTAAAAGTGACTCTTCGAGTTATACCGAACGTTTAACATCCGCTTTAATTTCAATTGAAAACAGACTTGCAGCAGATGAACTCAATTCATTGGATGTAAAACAGCTTTATTTTAAAGGAGAGATACCTTTTCCTAGTAAGCGTATTTCTGACAAGGATCTTGATTTTCTCTCGGCGCACGTTGTTACAGATTATCAAAGAATTGCAAGGTTTTTAGGAATGCGGCAGGACAAATTACATACATATCATGAGAAATATGTAAAAGACCAAGCTATGCGATGCTTAAAAGACTGCAATAAGATGGACGCAATTTCGAGAAAGAGTATGTGTAATGCATTGAACTATGCTGAGCGCCAGAATCTTGTGCATCAACTGGTGAATTCGTGGAACAAAAAATAATGTTGATGTTCTTATGCTCATTGTTGAAGGCCATACGATGACCTATAATTGTTCATTTCTGTGTCATTTGGTCTCTTGTGGAGAGTTGTCTCATTGACAATCATACCATATCTTCTTTTTTTATCTTATATCTTTTACCTTAAGACAATTTCTTATTTAAACGAATAAATGGACGAATCCTAACATCATTACCATATATTATCCCCATTAATGTCCTGATAGAGGTGTTATTTAATACCTTCAGGAAACCCTCTGCTGAGCTGCTTTGGGCAGCTTTATATTTTTCCTTGATATAAAATATTCGTTGCTCGTTCTTTTAGTTTAAATAATGTAAACAATACATATGTCGGGGCCTTTAATAGCTGACTATACGGTATGGATTTTACTGATTGGTGACCTGGTCTCATTGGCAATCATTCTACATCTCCTTATTTTATAGTACTGATGTTTCGGTCCAGTAATTCTTTTAGCTTTCCTCAGCTCTTCAAACTTTGTAGAAGTTTTGGCCTCGATCATCACTGAAGAGACATTTTTTTAATGCGCATCTGATGCATTAAAACTGGTACTGTTAATATTGTTATTAATGTAATGATAAAGACATATTTTTGGAACGTTTGCGTTGCCTATGAAAATATTAATTATTGTTAATAAATTCTCTCTGGTAAAAATTAATGTTTCTGATATGAGTTTAAAAAAAATAAAAAAGCATCATTAAGTCATTTGAAAGAACTTTTATTGATATAGTATGATAATGATTTATAAACATTCATTTGATTTTGATAACTCCATTGAAAGAGCTAAGTAGTATAACAAAAATTCGCACATGATAATCTTTTACCTACTTTGTGGTTAAATAGATAATAATACACAGGTTTGAGCAAACTATAAGTAAATATATATATTTAACACTTGCAGTTACTAACAACCAGATGAAAGTTATTTACCAGTTGCTTCATATTACAATTTAAATGGGATGAAATAACAATTTTCTCTTTAGAATAAATTGAAGTTAAAAATGATTCATTGAAATGTGTTCTGTCACCAATCTATAATCAAGGTCAATGAAGCTGTCCAAAAAGACATCTTTGGTTATTGTCATTTTGTTCGCCCCTAGTTATACACAGATAAAATGCATGGAAGAATTTATACCTGGTATCTGTTAACGTCACGGTACCCAAATTGCACCTATTTAATGAAAATAACAGAGGAAATCTTACAAGTTTTCGTAGAGACTAAACAATTTGTATTTTTATGATTTGACACTATGCACGTCTTTCAACATAGGTAAATATATTTAAATATATACAAACAGTTCACAGTATATATAAACAGATGAAGTGTTCACTGGAAAAAGTAAAATGTACGGAAACATCGCCGTGCGACGTCCACAAAAAGTCACCTTTTAAAAATTAGCAAATAAAATATGCTACAAGCATTCATTTCTTAAAAAATGAATAGTAAGCATGGACTAATGTCAAATTGTTCTAAATATTTAAAGAAATAAAACAAAATATCTGTTATTCGACTTTTAAGGATGTGAATTTAAGCATGGATGCAATTTGGGTACTCCTCATTACAAAATCATTGATCGTTTGGAGGTCTGTTCAAACCCATTTTTCTATGATTCAATATGGATTCAAAATTAAATTGGTGGAACTATATAGTAAATAATGATCTACAAAATAAACACAGAATGGAAACTTTTGTCTAGATCATAAATAAACGTAGGTGAAAAAACTGTCAAAATAGGTGCAATTTGGGTACCCTCATGTTAGATATAAATGTAAACATCATCGTCTTATTGGGAGACAACTTGTCTCAACTTAGTCCATTTCGTTCTATTTTAGGACAGAAGGAGTCTGGGATCCAGGCCCAATGTCCTCTTCGCTTCTTCTACTGTCGAGCACTGAGCCAGGATCCCAGGTTAGAATAGAAAGAGAGTAGCGAATTAACTCGAGGATGGCCGACTGAGTACAAGACCACATTGGTCTAAGGTAGATACAGTTGATAATTATGCTAGTCAATATAGTTTGAGTGTAAAACAGCTATAGTAATATTAATGTACTAACAATACAGTACTTTCAGGTGTGTTTGTCCAGTAATGCGGTATACGTTATTTTGTAGTTTTGTCAAGCGTCAGTGAAAATAAAAACATGAATGGCTGATGATACATAACTGATGAAACTTAAAACAACTAAGTACACAAAATCGGAAACGTACAATGCATTTTTGAAACATTACAAAATTAACTAGAGGCTCTAAAGAGCATGTGTTGCTCACCGTGGTCTATGTGCACATTCAACAAAGTACACTCTCCAACATTATAGACGAGAATAGAATTCATGACAAAAATCTCTGTTTTGTTTATCTTGTATTGCTGATCATTTAGTCTGTTTAGCTTCTCTTTTTGTTCATTAGTTTTTGCTCAAAACACAAAATAGGGTAAAAAATCCTTATTTAAGAGCAATCACTCCTGTAAAGAGTGACAATCTACTAACGTTATCTGCAAAATTTGACTTGTTAGTAGATCTTGCCTTGCTGATCATTTTTGTGATTTAAAGTGCCTTTTTATCTATTATAATTTTATCATATAAGGCAAAACGCAAAAAAATGGTAAAAATCGTCATTAAAGGGCAATAACTCCAATAGGGAGTCATCGTACGATTTCCTCCATATTGTCTTAATTGTAGATCATTTTTGCTTATTTAAGTTTCTATCTATCTATTATAGTTTTAAGATATAAGGCAAACACGCCAAATAATCGTCATCAAAGGGCAATAACTCTAATAAGGAGTCGACTGACGAATTCGACTATACAGACTTATTTGTAGAACTTGTCTTGCTCATTTTAGCAATTTAAAGTTTCTCTATATCTATTATAGTTTTCAAGATAATAGCCAAAAATGGAAAAAAAGGTAAAAATTGTCATTAAAGGGCAATAACTCCTATAATAAAAAAGGTCGTCTGGCAGTTTGGACGTATACGGACAACTGGTAGAGCTCAACATTCTGAACATGTTTACCTTGTCAGATTATCTCTATTTTTAACGGTTTTCAAAATAATAGACAAAACTTGCATTTTACCCCTATGTTCTATTTTTAGACATGACGGCCATCTTGGTTGGCAGGCGGGGTCATCGGACACATTTTGTAAACTAGATACCCCATTGATGATTGTGGCTAAGTTTTGGTTAACTTTGGCCCAGGAGTTTCAGAGAAGAAGATTTTTGTAAAAGTTAATTACGGACGACGGACGACGGACGTCAAGTTATGAGAAAATCTCACTTGGCCCAATGGGCCAGGTGAGCTAAGAAGGGTTTTGAATTTATAAGGCAACAAACCAAGACTTGAAAAGATTCACGTATTTATGTAAAAAAAAATCAATATTCCTTGTTGAGCGGTTCACATTAGCTTGCTGATAACATTTGAGACTGTATTTAGAAATAACTATATCATTTTAAGTCTCTTTGTGAATATTCTGTGACAAAAATTCAATTATGTCTCTTGTGTTAAGTATTTTACACATAACTCAAACATGATATGATTAATTGATTGATTGATTGAGTGTTGGTTTCTTAACGTCCAGTGGCAAATATTTCATGCATGTTCAGGATGGTATGATATGAATACAAGTACCGTGTTATCGTCTTAATAATTTGGTTACCGGGTAGGCAGAAAATTATTAGAATGATATAAATATTTGTTCATATTGTGATTACCTGACCAGATATACGATTCATACAAGCCTTTATTCTGATGAATTGTATTTCAATTATTTAAGGAAGTAAAATGGATATATTTGAGAAAAAATTTGATTGAAAAAGTCTTCAAAACTTGTTTAACTGTCTTATGTTCAGACAAAATGTGTCTTGCAATTACATGATTTATTTTGTAAAAAAGCACTTTTTTTTTTTGGGGGGGGGGGGGGGGAAGGGGAGAATTAACACGGGAATATCATAATTGAAAATTTGAAGAAAAAAATCTCGTTTGACATAAAATCCGAGCACCGCACAAACGTGTTTGATGCCAAAGTTTACTGTTTCAATACAAATAGTTAACGTATATCCAAAATTTTATCAGTTTACTTTTAACTCTGTAACTTTGATTGCATTTGCCCACTGTTTCCCCTCATGAAAATTAATCTCCACAACAGATAAACAAAGTAGTAATAATCATCGTCATCCATAAAACATTGCAAATTTTAGTATGTGATGCTTGATTTATATTGTACACTATAAACGAGGGTCTGGGTGTTGTTCGGATTGTAGTGGTTATAAATTCCGTTGTTTTTGCATCAGTAGATACAAGTGTTGTTTTTGTATCAGTATATAAAAGTGTTGTTATTGTGCTTGTCATCTGAGATTCTGTTGAATTGTCAGAGTCAGTTTTGTTCGTCTTAGCTACTGTTTCCTGTGGATTGCTTGGTTTTCTAGTTGGTGTTGATTGTGGCGTAGTTGGCGCTGTCGTAGTTGGTGCTTTCGTAGTTGTCGCTATCGTAGTTGGCGCTGTCGTAGTTGGTGCTTTCGTAGTTGTCGCTATCGTAGTTGGCGCTTTGGTAAAACTTGTATTAGATGCAGCATCCTTTATAGCGTTCAATAAAGGGAATTTTCCCTGTCCGCAATGATTACCAGAGAAATCATCAAGATCATATGTCCAAAACATTATACCTCCTAATCCCATTGTTTTGGCGTATTTAACCTAGAAGAAAAATTCAAATATTATTGCAATTTCTTATGTAATAACAATCACAAATGATACTAGATTCTTAAAGACTCGTAATAATAAATGTCTTTTTCAGAAAACCGGTTTGAAAATTCACTTCACAAAATATTTTAACATTTATCATTTTGGATATCCTTTCCAGTTTTTTCTTTTCCCAAATTTTTTATATCAGCTACCTAGATTTGTTTGTTTATGCATCTGTCTTCATTTTCTCTTTTCTGTTCTATTTAGGTAAAGTATGTTCATGATCACGCCAAACATCGTATGGTAGTTTCGGCATGGATCGTCAAACTTCGAGATTTTGTTTTACCTCTGATATTGTGGTCTTCACTTTAAAAAAATGTGTGTTCGTTGTTCTTTGTATTTGTACGACTTTTCTTAAGGCATTGGGTGTTGTGATGTGGTCTGTTATAGTGTCCAGTATGGTAACCATTGCTATCCTGATTCGTATGTTAAGTTTTTATTGGATAATTGTCTCATATATATCCAACCAAATATTCCTTTTACAGTACTTTTGTATTAACTTTATGATATATAGAATAACCGTACATTGTTTTAAATATAGATTTTATTTGTATAAGGCTTAGAAACAGGTAGAAAGCGAGGCTTTGTCGAGCATTTCTATTCTGTTTTGAGCCGAGTACTATGTATGGCTATTCTTTATATACTGTAACTCCTACAAATGTTCCATAGGAAATATTTAGGATAAAAACCATCGTTTTTTTTTAAATTTGGAGTGAATGACGTAAAAATTCCGCGAACCTGTACTTTTAAAGACGTAATTGATAAAACTTTACGGAAACGAATTGTCAACGTCATAAACAAGGCGATTTACGGTCAGTGACTGTATATCATAAATGATTTTACGGTCAGTGCAATTTGAAGCCTATTTTATAGTGATTATTTGATTTCCAGATTAAATATTTCATGATTATTTGATAATCAAGGACTGTATTTTTGATTATATGAATATTATATTTAAAACAAATAGTTAATGATTATGTGATTATACTGGCAACACATTTGTGATTAAGTTATTACTTGGACACCACCCATGTGGGGCCTCAATTTGACTACACAGCTGTAGTATATAAGTTTATATTATCCTCTCTTTTCAATGTAGAATTTATAATTATAAGTTTGTTCAAAGTTTTTTGGGAAGTACTTGCCTTTTCTTGCAGAAGTACTAAAACGTTTAGAAAATCGTTATCTCTAGATTAGTATTACAGAAAACTCACTTGTACATAAACTTGGACATTAGAAATGGGTGTTTACCTTTTCTATCATACTTCTCGGGGTATTATATGCAAACCACTGGTTACCAGAATATGCATAGGTATATTTCTGTTCATCGTCCCATATTCCACGAAGTCCTTTGACTTTGTCACATAACTGTAAATATAGAACAGTAAATAGAACGTATGATACAGCAAAGTATTAGCGATCTATCAATAAATATTCTTACGATAGTCACTACCTACACATTTGCTTTGTCAGACATATTAGTTATGATATAAGTCAGTTTTGTATAACTTTTTATCTTTCGGCTTTTAGTGTCAAACTATATTTCTCGGAAACGAAACACTCCTAACATGTATGTGTATTTATAGGCACCGAGATCTACATATACCAAAATCAATACACGGCACTTGTTTCTTAACGGGCATTTGATTATTAGACTGTGAAGCTTGGATTGGCAATATGCTTCAAAAGTATATCCATCAATTGATGCTGACGTTACATATGACGTAGTGACCTCAAAATTAATTGGGATCTTTTCATGCAATATTGCATTATAATATGAGCAACCATAAGTCCCCATACGAATTTCTATAATGAGCAAAACCCATGCAATTTAGTAAGCTATAAAAGCCCCGACAAAATGTAAAACAATTCAAGCGTTAAACTAACTGCCTGTTTATGTTAAACCAATCTCCAGAAACAAAATAAGACAGACATCAACCAACGATAACCACTGAATTCTAAGCTCATTACTTGTAACAGGAACTGACGGACAATCAAGTCATTTTTGATTTTAGAAAAATGTCTGGTCTTTCCATTCTAATCTCACATTAACCTTTCATGGCTGCTTCTGTCTCTCCTATCATTTTTTGGCTGACGAATAAAACATGCATAAAAATCAAGAGGGTGAAAACGACAAAATAAGGTGTATGCCAGTTACATACTTGTATCAAACGTCTTGTTAAAGTTTTGTTAACTTAGTTTTTGACATACCAATACTCAAAATCACAATCAATTATCAAAACATTCCACCTTTTCAGATTAGGTTAAGAGAGGAGATTCCTTTTTGTTTTGTAACAAAAAATCAGCTTTGAAAACGATTTAACATTAATTTTTTTGTCATATGAAAAGAATTATAACCTTATTCAGAACATTTTTTTGTTACATGTTTCACGTAGTCATGATTTGATTTGATTGTCATTGATAACTGGTCTCAAAGTTGAAAATTTTTACGGGTATTATTATTAATACATTCAAGTGAAGAATATAGGTCCGCCATTCCTGCATATTACACGCAAAAGAGATTCATATCGATTGACACGTGTACGGCTAATGTCAACTTTTTTTAATGAACTTTATAGAATGCATAAATTACTCGAATTTGTATTTTAATGATTTTGTGTTGAACTGTTCGCACCTTAAAAAAAGTGGCTGATTGGTCAAATTAACAGTCATATTCCAACAAGGGTTAATTACCTCGAAATAAGACAACTGGCCCCTCAATTTCCTTATTGGACCTACAATAGTACTGTTTATCACTGGAGCTCCAATGCTATGATTGGATGGACTTCTCAGTGTTAAAGCTAAAGCTGTTGCCGTAATCCCCATTACTAACTTTTCTGGAGGTGCTCCTTTTTTCATCCAGTACTGTATAGTCCAGTTCTGCATAATAATACAAAATAAAATCAAAATATTGTGCATATATCTTTTTTCTTAATAGGTAGTCATGATATTATTGAATACACCTTTGAATTTTTCGACTTTTGTATGGTTTATAAGTATTTCAACAAGATACTTCTTTTACAAGAAGGTAAATAAACATTACTTATTAATATACCAAGAAACATGTTTTGAAGCTTCAATTATTGTATAGAGCAGTAATCCACAATTAAATATTATACAATTATAGCCTTTGTATGAGGTCGATATAACATCGTATTGACCTCAACCAGAGGCTGCAATTGTTATATTATTAGTTAGCAACTATTACATAAACGATGTAAAATTGGGGATTTCTAGAATGTATTTTTAGTAACATGCTGTATGCCCTGTGCAATACGAAAAGCTAATAACAACAGTATTGACGTGCAAACTGAGTAAATACAAATGTACATGTGATCAATTTTTAACGAATCATAAATCCTTAAAAATATTTAATTGATAATAAACTCAAATATTTCACGTTAGGTTTTAAAAGGTAGAAACTTACAAGTGACAAAACGAACGTATCGTCTGTCTTTCTTTACTGAAAGTGCTCTCAAATGTTTTGATATATGTCTTTCTTTGATATGCATATACTCATTTGATTACATCAGATAACATCAGATCAAACGATTCAAAGGTAGTTTATGTCGCTACTTTACTCCTTCTGTACACAACACGCCATACGATGAATCAATATGCAGGTTTTAAATCCATTACAATTTTCTTTATATCGGACAACGAGGAAGTGACTTGTTGGCCTTGATTTGGTTTTAAAGTAAGACTAGTGGAAACAAGTTACTAATACAACGACTTTACGGTATCTTATTAAAGTTCACATAATAAAAATTTCATATCAATGTATGATTTTGATGAAAGCATTAGAACGTAACTAAATTACTAATTTTAATCTAAAACTCGGTACTATGATTTTGAAATCGTTTTTTTTTTCTTTTCTTTGAACAGCCAAAGCAGCAGTTGGTAATTTGTTGTTTCATAAATTATATCTTTAGTTTAAATATTCTGACTGATTTGACCTTTTGAAAGTTGTACTAACCTCAACGTTAAACTTTGCTGTTAAAAAAATAATAGCATTCTAATTTCAATACTTTAAATGCAATGGTGTAACGGAACCACAACTAATATTGTGCAATAAATTTTGGCAGCCAAAATGACACCAACGTGTCCCTCACTTTTTTTTAAACAGAACACCGATGAGTGTTTATCTCATGTCGGCCATCTTTCAAAATTAACACGCTGCCAAAAAACTGGTTTTTGCGAAGAAAAACTTAAAATTTGATGTCGGCAAATATTAGACATTCTGCTAAAGAAACAGGCATGGGTCGTGTTTTTACTTGTTGTGCAATCGCTTGAATTTGGAACTGCTAACTAGCTACAGTAGATTGCCAAAACAACAAAATACCACGGTTTGAATATAACTATCACTACAAAAAGACATGCTGTATACAACATAACATGTGATATCTCAGGATTATTGATGAGATCTGAATATCTTGAGAACATGAGGTCTGTAAAGCCTGATACTGTAATATAATACCTGTGACAGCCGAGGATTTAAGGTTATAGTCTGAACGCTAATATCTTGAGAACAGAGGCCCTGCTGAACGACCTTAATTTGTATAAAATTACCTGTGACAGCTGAGGATTATAGGTTTGGTCTGATAATCTTGAGAATAGAGGACCTGTAAATCCTGATACTTTACTCCAAGTACCAAAGTAGTCATACGCCATAACGTTGATAAAATCTACATATCTGTCAAAAAGATATATTTATATATTTGTATGAGAAACCGTCGATCACTTACTCTTCATGGACTCAATGATATACTGAAATTGCATCAATGATTAATAATAGAATATAAAATTATTTTTGTAATATTTTTTATCAAATGCCTATAACAGATATTTGTAACAATGTCTACGTTTTTTACCGATTTGAAAAATTTAAATTATTTTGCAAAATTCAATAATAATTCGTTATCCGTTATGTTTTTTACATTGTCAGTTTTATCAACATTGTACTTCCTGCTTGGTTCCTGCAAATGTGAAAACAGGATTTAAGAGTAAGAGATCTAGACCAGACTGGTAGGGTGTTAGGGTGAATCGGAATAAAGAGTCCAGGTAGAATTGTAACACATCTTCCAGCGCACTATTACCTTTTGAATTGGCATTTTAAAAATCAAACTAACTATACTAGTCGTGTACAAAGCATGGATCGTGCTCATATCAAATCAGCATGTTCTCATCCTGATGTGAATGTTATATTTGCTATGGACGTTAAACACCATTCGATACAATGCAATATGATAATTGTATTGTCAATTAAAGACGCCCGAAGGACAGTATAATTACAAACGATTTACTACAATGATCCATCTATCCATCCACCAATTCCTACGAACCTTTATATTTTCATCCAGCCTGATCAATTTACTTACGTCGGAAGTTTTAACGGTGTAGCTCTGTGTCGTCTGCTTAAACATCAATTTTAGCATCGTAAAATTCAGAAAGTCGAAACAAACACATATGATGTGTGTGTTAAGGATTTTCTATATCAGAGAAATGAATTTTGTCAATTTTCTAGCGAGTGTATTGTACCCATCTTCGATTTTGTCGGGATTCCACGCAAACAGGTCAAGAAAAACTTTAGAATAGGCAATTTATGAATACAAAATAGTGAACGTAGGGAAACCTCTCACACAAAAACAAAATTTAGTCGATATGTTGGCCGTCTTGTGTTCACTTTGTTATCTGCAAATTTAATACTAGTAACTTTACACACAAGTTTTTCTTTTTATACGGAATGCTGGATTTTGTATGGAAATTTTTTGACGGACTGAAGGATAGTGTGAGATTATCTATATTTTCCTTCCCCGTAATGAATGGTCTCTTTATACTTACTTGACAATTTCTTTAACATTGTAGGATTCGTCAATGTTGGGTTTTCCTGCAGCAACTGCTATAGAAAGTACCAATCTTGGCTTGTGACTTGTTCTGATTGCGTCATCATTGTCAAACTCCGAACGCATTGCCTATAAACGTTGTAAATATAACATAAGTCAATTTTAAAGGAGAAACATTGCTTTGTGTGAAAGAGAAGCGAGAGATATCAAAGGGACGTTCAAACTCATAAAAAAACGACGAAATAACAAACAACAGTACACTAAACACAACATAGAAAACAAAAGACTGAGCAACACGAACCCTACCAATAAACTTATTATTATACTAACATGTAGTTAAACCTAATTATTACATTGGTAGCAATGAATTACATTAATTTCCCAGTCAAATAAAAACCGATAATTTCACATGTGAAATAAACGTGGTTATTTCACTCTCTGACGTCATACAACAATAGACGTTGTCAAGACGTCGATAACGTCGGATCAAAACAAATTGTGAATGCGTAGAAAAAAGATATAGTTCCTTACATTTTCTACATTAATTTCATTAAAAAAGCCATTTGCCAATGTAATAAAAAGAATAACTAATCAAAGAATTCAAATATCGAAAAATATTCAACTCGTGACCGAACAACACGCATTCGTGAATTAATGTGTTGTTCGGTCACTCGTTGAATATTTTTCTCTATTTGAATTCTTCGATTAGTTATTCTATAACTGTATTCATTTACAAAAATGTTAATTATTTTGTATATTCTCTACCCGTATGATTTCATATTGTTTGTACATAATTACTATCTGGACACTGGTGTTGTTGGTGATCATAAAGTCCAGCATATTTATTATATCATCTTTGATTTATTTGCTGTTGGGATCAGTGTGGTTCTTCACTCAGTAATATTGTTTATGAACCCAAACAAGGAATTTGTACCTACGATTCCCATTTTGTAAAAAAACCCCAGAAAAATCTCTTTTTAATAAAAATGTAGTTGATCTTTCGATTATGCATAGGGAATAGTAGTATAGAGCGTAGAAAAATCAAAAGTTTATGTCATTACTTCTTGATTGTAAAGAAATAATTGAAGATTTTGAAGTAGATCTTCAGAATTTTAAGATCAACATCTGATTGAAACAACTGGTTGTTTGTACCTTATCATAATATTTCTGAAATTCTTCTTTTACTGTAGAATTAATGGTTGCAAGAATCTTAGTCGAACATCAAAACGACCCAGTTATGTATCGTTTTTTATAAGGATTTTCGTCAAGTTTATTTATCCAGTGAAAAGACAGGAGATTTTCATCGTCCTATTTATGTTAATATGAACGGAGAATACGACGAATTTATGATTTTCGAAAATCTCCTCTTAAGTGAAAACTGCAGGGTTTTATGGGTGATTTACAGATTTACTGTGTATTCAGCATTCTGTAGTAAGGCATTCTAAGTGTTGGTAATATACATATAAAACCAATACGGTTAGTAGTTTTGTCTGCTCGAACAACAATATATTTGTTTTGAAGAGAGGATAAAGTGTCAATGCAACAAAATGCTACCACTTTGTTTCAAAAGTACATTTAGTAGTTTTTAAATTTATCTACTTTGTTATTAATCAAGTTCTTTATACAGAAATAATTTTGATGATAAAAAAGCCACTTCTTCCTTCTTTCATGTGTTATTTTGATAGTAAAATACATGTAATTGCGTTATAAAAGTTACATTTTTTCCCATACTAAAGGCAACAGTAGTATACCGCTGTTCGAAACTCATAAATCGATAGAGATAAAAACAAATCCGGGTTACAAACTAAAACTGAGAGAAACGCATCAAATATAAGAGGAGAACAACGACACAACAATAACACAACATTAAAATGTAGCACACACAGAAACGAACTATAATATAACAATGGCCATTAAACATACCTATTAACAGTATCATATGCTATGTTAACTATCCATTGAAAACATCAGTATATTAGTTCGTGCTTATAAATGTATGATTTTTTTTTACCTTTAATAGTTCTGTAAATTTGTCCTTAAATACTCCAGGATATTCCCAATCAATATCAAAGCCATCAAAATTCCGGTCACGTAAATAGATACGACAATTTTTAGCAAATGCTTTTCGTCGTTCGGGTGTCTCTGCTACATTATGTAAAGCTTCCGATGATGTTGCTCCACCAATAGAAAGCAGTGTTACTAATTTCTTATTTCTTATTTTAATATTTGTAAAATCGAAATATTTTCCTTTCGCATCAGGAGGAAGGAGTCCATTGTCATCATCAACTTGCAGTCTTTCAAGCTTTAGCTTTGCTGTATTAACTTTAGCAAATGCAAATATGGCATGGGTGCACAGAAATGGATCAATATCTTTGATGTAAAATCTGCCTGATATTACTTGAAGCGTGTTTGTCCATGTTCCATAATAACAAACTCTCTTGAAATCAGAACCTGAAAAAAATAATAAACTATCATAGATTTTTTTTTAATTTGGCAACTTTATCTATTTTACAAAATAATCCAAGTAAACCTTTCCGGTTTTTTCTGCATGATTTTTTTGTTTTTTTGACAGGCTAGCTCCAGCATGGCATCCTCTTACCGAATAACATAATTATAGAATAGTAAGTTCGTTAGTTTTCTCTTTTGAATTGCTGCACATTTTGTTATTCCTTGGTTTCTTATAGCTTATTATACGGTATGGTGTTTGCCAACTGTTGAAAGCAATAGTAGGACCTGTAGTTTTTTTCCATCTTCGTCAATGGGTCTTTGTTAGGAAGTTTTCTCATTGAAAATCATACCACATCCCCTTATTTTCATGATGATGCTGTTGCGTTTTTACCAACAAGAGACAAATAACTTGATACAGGTAAACATTTAATAAAATACAAATATGAAAATTAATTTTGAATGTGTATTATTATATATTTTTTTAAGAACGAACAAGGACTTCTAGTCATCAGCTGCAGGAAAGGCTAGCAAAAACATTGATTAACGAAAACCATCGTTTATATTCTAAGTATTTATCAAATTATCAAGAAATACAACAGATGAACACTTAAAATTCTAAACGTCATAAAGATTTAACAGTAATTGATGTTTGTGCAACCTGATCAGTTTGAATTCCTCAATACATTTTACAATTGCATCCACCTAGCCGTTATATGTGGGTAGTCATTAGTACATTTCTTCACAAATCTGTTTAAACTCGATAAAAAAGATTGAGACCTTAACATTTCGGAGACAGAATATATTGGCTCATATATTTTTTAACTGCATTGTTGAGTACCAGTCTATTTGATATATACACATATCGCCGTTTATATACTATATCGAAAATATAACTTCCCAATTATTATCATATAAACCTATTATGTCTGTTTTGGTAGCTCAACAAATTTTGTTATTATAACGGGACTATAAACAATTGTAATACAAGTGGGAGGTTTAGCTAGCTTTGAACACAGATTCAACACACCATTTTCTTCGGAAAACGCCTGTACCAAAGTCAGGATTATGGCAGTTGTTCACTTGTTCCGTTGATTGATATCGTTTGATTTTGTCAGTTTTTATGGACTTCCTCTTTTTGAATTTGCCTTGGAGTTCGTTTTTTTTATACTTTTTTCACATAAACAAATCACTAGCATTTAATTTCTTGAAAATAATTTGTTTAATGAAAATTGCGAAAACTTGATGGAAATGTTTTAAATACCAGAAATAGAAAAGAAAAGGCAGTGGATGGACATACATGTCCATTACAAACACAGATATAAACAATCAATGAATATATATATATATATTGTCATATATAGATATAAAAAGGTGTGGTATGCGTGCCAATGAGACAACTCTCCATCCAAGTCACAATTTGTAAAAGTAAACCATTATAGGTCAAAGTACGGATTAAAACACGGAGCCTTGGCTCACACCGAACAGCAAGCTATAAAGGGCCCCAAAATTGACTAGTGTAACACCATTCAAACAGGAAAACCAACGCATTAAAAGGTCTTCCATGCGGAACTGTGTTCCTATACTGACAGCAAGATCACTCGTCTCTTTTCATCATTTTCTTTATATTTTTTTGGTTATGGTTTTTTTTCAAAGGTTGGGCTTGCAGCCATTAAAGAAACAATCCAGCTTTTCTACGACCAATCCGAATTTGTATACATTTGTATACAATATCTCAATGAAAAGTGTCATTTTTGTACTGTTTGTATGATCTTTAAACCACTTATCCAATGACATTCATACCTGTATATAAAACTCACTATTGGAACTAGAGTAAACTGACCTTATAAGACATGTGACCCTTAAATTGGGGTAAAAATACATAGGGAAAAGAAGGGCGTGACATAACAAGACAGGTTTTGTTAAGGAGCGGTGACCTCTATAATATGTTTGACTTCTACTTTTATTTTATGACACTTACCATTTGAATATCTGACAAAAAGTAACAAAAATATTGAAATAATGGCCTCCGTCTCCATATCTTGTGATACCTATTTAAATAATGAGAAAAAAAGATTTTTTTTTAAATATTCAAATATTGGCCTCCGTCTCCATGTCTTGTGATACCTGTTCAAAAAATGGCCTCTGTCTTCATATCTTGTGATATCTGATTACGTGATTTGATAAAAGATTTTTTTTAACGGAAATATTCTTTAAATCATTTGCGCAAGTATGTTTTATCAAATATACATTCAATAATGAATTGGTAAACGCAACAAATTAACTAAAACATTCTGTTATTCTACATTTGACAACTTTTGAAAATATATATCATATGCTTCAAATAACAATATATCTCACAGAATATGAAAACAACGAAATAGGTGCATTTACATATGATTTTGGTTCCGACATATTTATCTTGACTCCCAGAGTTTTTGTTTGTGTTAGATTTTCTCCATCTTCTACAGTTTTAAAGAAATAAGGCAATCATTTGGATTTCAGTCCAAAGTTTTATTTTATCATTATTTTAGAGCAAGTTAAAACAAACCCGTATCAAGGTCTAAATATATCAGATATATGACTAGCAAGGCAAGCTGTGCACTAGGTTTCCTGAGAAGACACGTACGCCAATACCCCCTAGATTGCAAAAAACTAGCCTAGTTAGCCATGGTAAGATCTGTATTGGAATACGGCGCTGTCATTTTGAGCACATTTACCATCAGGGAAATAGAACAGATTAAAAGCATACATAAAAGAGAAGCACGACTAATCATGCACAAATAAAACAGGATGTGTAATAAATATGCTTTCAAAGCTGAAACTGCCACCTCTCCATGAACGTAGGACACTCCAGAGGCTGATTTTGTTATACAAAGTAGTTCAGGGATTGGTGACAGCTATTGATCCGATAAACGACCTCATAGAAATAAGAAATGAACGTCAATTTAAGGAAAAAAAATTAAGTGGTTTCCAATATTCAAACATAGTAGAAAGACAAGAAACCAGAAATAGCAGATCATACAAATACTTTTATATAAAAAAGACATCAGAAAGAACTCTTTTTTCCCCGAAAACAGTGGAACAGTGGAACCATCTGAAAGAGTACATTGACAGTTGTTTTCTATTCGTTTGATGTGTTTGAGCTTCTGATTTTGCCATTTGATAAAGGACTATCCGTTTTGAATTTTCCTTGGAGTTCGGTATTTTTGTTATTTTACTTTTTTGCATGCTCAAAGACAGTTGAGGGTTTCGCGGCTGCAACTCCAACAGTTGAACTAACCACCACCTATCCTTTAATGGACACATATCCGCGATCGTATCATGCACTGAGTCGCATAAAGATACAGATACAGATACAGATCATGGCGGCTTCATTGGTTGATAGACTAGTATAAAATTTACACAAACTAAAATGTAAAAACACTAAAGATCCTTCATTTCATATACAAAAGTGGCGTATTAATATGAAAAACGTATAAACTCGTGTTTTATCAGTTAAGAAATTAAATAATTTTGTACAGATCGATCCTGCATGGGGATTTTTATATCATGACTTAACATAATTGACAATTTTCAAATTTTACGATGGGAGGTGACTCTTATTACCTATTTGAGGATTACAGCTGTTCCTCCTTGCGCATACATCAGGAGGCCAGTTTTAAGTTTTCAATGTATTATATCCATCATTTCCATACATAGCAAAAACCTTAAACTAAAACGCTACAATAACCTGTTCACGTTGATGGAAACAGATGTAAACCATCCAAATTTTGTCATTTTGTTCTCAAGATCTTTTAAGTACACAAGACTGAAACAATTACCAATGGGTCTAGGAGGTTATTACCTTATGAAAGTGGTTCAGCCTACTCTTTGTCGATGTTACATCACAAAAAAACATAACATTAAAGCAGGAAGCAGAAAATACAAAGGGGATAATCAAAAACCATAAGTCGAAAAAAAAACAGACAAATTCAGGGGCCATTAAGAAAAACATGGGCCAAAAGAAAAACTTACAATACCATGGGCAAAACTTCCAGACAATACCAAACCTGCCAAAGGCAAAAAAAAAGAAAATATCAAAAAACCATCAGTCGAAGAAAAACAGACAATATCATGAGCCAAAAAGAAAAACAGCCAATACCATGGGTCAAAAAGAAAACCAGCCAATACACGGGCAAAAAAGGAAAACAGACAATAGCATGGGCCAAAAAGAAAAACAGGCAATGCCATGGGCAAAAAGAAAAACACACAATACCAGACATCCAGACAATACCAAACCTGCCAAAGGCAAAAAAAAAGAAAATATAAAAAAACCATCAGTCGAAGAAAAACAGACAATATCATGAGCCAAAAAGAAAAACAGCCAATACCATGGATCAAAAAGAAAACCAGCCAATACACGGGCAAAAAAGGAAAACAGACAATAGCATGGGCCAAAAAGAAAAACAGGCAATGCCATGGGCAAAAAGAAAAACACACAATACCATGGGCAAAAAAGAAAAACAGACAATACCATGGGCAAAAAATAAAACAGACAATACCGTGGACAATAAAACCCAGACAGTACCATGGGCAAATCGAAAAAAATAGAGTATACCATGGACAAAAAAGAAAAACAGTCAATTCCATGTGCAAAATAGAAAACGGACAATATCATCGGCAAAAAATAAAAACAGACAATACCATGGGCAAAAAAGAAAAACAGACAATACCATGGACAATAAAGAAAAACAGACAATACCATGGACAAAAAGAAAACAGACAATACCATGGGCAAAAACAATGCACAATACCATGGGCAAAACACAAAAAAATAAATAATACACTGGACAAAAAGGAAAAACAGACAATACCATGGGCAAAAAAGAAAAACAAACAATACCATGGACAATAAAACCCGGACAATACCATGGACAAAAAAGAAAAACGACGATAAACAAACATCGGCCGATAATATCACAACTAAATAACTGAAGATTTAGCATCAAAACCCGCCAAATCCCTGGATTGATCTGAGGTGCTCCGGAAAGCTAAGGAGATTCTCCACTTGTGACGCCCGTCGTATGGGGTCTTAAAATCATCCCATATTGGCCATATACTTATGGAAGTCACAAGTCTAAAGATTAATGTTTTAAAAACCTCACTCAAAATTATACTGGTTTAAAGATAAAAGGGTTTGTTATTCATCAATGTTGATATTAGTTTAACTGACAATTAACCGTCAGTCGTCTATATAGTGTATACAAATTTGGAAAAATTCTACAAAACAGATTAAGGCCAGGTTTTACATGATCTTAATTATACAAACTAGTAACCGCTAACTTCATATGAAATCCAAAACGACAATTTATTTTACAAAATTGGTTTCAAAACTACAGGAAAGTACAGATGATACTGCTTACCTTGTCACGTATGTGTCTTCCTTTTTTCTAATTTAAAAAAACTTGTATGATGTTTCTCTGTGCTGTTTTCTTAACTCTACGCCTTTCTACATCCGTATGAGAAAATGATTAAGAGAGCAAATAAATATAAATTCCATGCAATACTTCGGATCAATCCCAAAATGAATGTATATTTAGGTATGTCATTCTCAAACCATAAACATCGGATGAAAGTAAAGTTGTCTATCTCTTTATCTACATGACAACACAATTATTTAGAGGTTTATTGAAGGATAAGTTACAGATGTCGACTATTAATAATTGTTTACAACAATTTATTTTGATATTTTCACATTGAAATATTTTCAATAGATTTATATTTAATTGATTATTTTTTTTAAATTGTTTTCATTTTAGAGATCAGCTATTTTGCCTTGTCATGTCGTAAAAAAGGGGGGAAAGTAGAATGACTACGAATTCGGAAAGCGGTAGTTACGAGAGTGTTTGTAAGAGTGTTTTAATCAATTGTTGAAGACGTAGACTTTACAACTATGAATAAATACTTAAACCGAGATCATTCAATAGTAAAAGCCAACAAAGTATCGGTATTTGGAAATTTGTAATCCTATATTCTACCCGAAGTGCAGTCGCAAATGTTAAGAGTGAAGACATATCAGTATGATTTCCATATAAGCTGATTGGTTACTGTATGCTTGCTTTCGATAACTATGAACATTATTTTATGCGGTACTATATGATATTGTTTTAATTAAAGCTGTTTGTGTTGTTTTTTATAACATTCTTATTGAGTTAAGTTATGCGGGGAAGTTTGAATGCTCCAAAACATGTTATTTGTGTTGTCTTTTATCAAATTCTTATTGAGTTAAAAGGGAAGGTTTGAATGCTCTAAAAAAAAATGCTGTTTGTGTTGTCTTTTATACCATATTTATTGAAATAAAAGGGGAAGTTTGAATGCTTCAAAATATATTGTTTGTGTTGTCTTTTATCAAGTTCTTATTGAAATAAAAGGGGAAGTTTGAATGCTCCAAAACATGCTGTTTGTGTTGTCTTTTATACCATTTTTATTGAAATAAAAGGGGAAGTTTGAATGCTTCAAAATATGTTGTTTACGTTGTCTTTTATACCATTTTTATTAAGTTAAAAGAGGGAAGTTTGAATGCTCCAAAAATGTTGTTTGTGTTGTCTTTTATACCATGCTTATTGTGTTAAAAGGGGAAGTTTGAATGCACCAAAAAATGTTGTTTCTGGGACTGTCCCAGTCAAACCGTCAGTGATGTGTTAAGTTTTATCTTGATCTTTTTTGTTCTACGGGTATTTGCTATTGATGGCATGTCTTTGAAAGTCTCTGATAAATTCACCACTTTTCTACTTAAATCGATTGTAATTTTGACATGTTTTGTATGTATAGACTCTAATCTATTGTTCAAGAAACTTGGTAAAACAGTATATTAAGCAATCATTGCAGTATTTAATCTTTAATACTTCAACAATTCACAATACACAAACTGAATAGTGGTTCTATTTTAAATACACATTTTTGTATCTTGTGTGTACCGGTAACAATCGCAGCATTTTGTTTTAAAATTGTGATACAGGCTGACTGTAATCTGGTTTAAGGCGTTTATTTATGTGGACAAATGAAAGATAACAACATGAACAAGACGTACTTTATAACGTATCGATATATATCTTTAGTTTCTTGTTTTTACTTCACAGTTATGCTTAGAAAGATAAAATGTTGGTTTCCCAATCTAAAATACCATACTAACCGTACCACGAACTGGGAACTGTCATTAGAGATTTGACAAAAAGTAATCACTTTATATAAGGTTATTTTAGTGAACAATACTTTAAGGTCTTTGGGGAATTTTATCTGCAACTTGATATTATTTTCATATGGTTGAAGTTACACGTTTTTTCTTTCTAATTTGACTCGGCTTTAAGAATCTGTGAACATGGGGGAATTATGTTTCTTTTTCAAAAATATATTGAAATTGAATAATTCGAGTTGATATCAATAATAAACTCATCATAGAAACCAGGATTAAAATTTTGTATGCCAGACGCGCGTTTCGTTTACAAAAGACTCTTCAGTCGCTCGAATCAAAAACCTTAATAAGGCCAAAGAAAGCACGAAGTTGAAGAGCACTGAGGGCCCAAAAATCCGAAATGTTTTACCAAATACAGCGATATCAAATTCTCACTCATTAAGAAACAAATAATTATCTGTGATGTGAATTATTTAAATTTATTGAGTGATAAATAATTTTACTCGAGGGAGCGATTACATGAAGGACGGTATGTCTATGTCCCCCACATCCATTCGCTGCAGAAAAACACAATCTGTCATAATATTTCTCATATTCAAAATAATAAACATTATTATGTCATTTTCGCAAAAATTTCGCACTTACTTTCGCTCCCAAGTTAATATCTTGTGAGAGAAAAAAAGAGCTGCGAATTGACCGAATGATACGCTCGATGCCCTTTTAGCTCGTCTTCATGCTTTAACTGAATGTATATGATTAACTAGAAATACTGTTAGCACTGCTCAAATAGAACCCCCCCCCCCCCCCCCTCGCAAAAAAAAGACATGCACACACAGTGGTACCCATTGACACAAAACATGAATAATTTGGCACTATTAAGGCTACCTCAAGTTAACTTTGTTTATTGCCTCGATTTTTGAACGAATAAATTTCTATTCCCGTCCGGAATGTGAGAACAATTGACAGTTTTCGACTTTTTTTCAAAAAATAAAGTTCCATAACTTCGCAATGTCATATCAGAAATTTACGAAAAATTAAAGGGAACTTATTTCAATAGATATAAAGTCACCAAAGTTTCGTAAAAACTGCTCAAAGCGGTTTTTTTTAATTTATTTTCCGAAAGCTGGAAAATTCCCAACCTTTTTTTATGAAAAAATTCCAAAAAATCACCAAAATTTCATGAAAATTGGTCAAAGCGTTTTTGAGTTACTGTCCGAAGCGTTGACGACAGCCGGACGGACGGACTTACGAACGGACGGACGGACAGACGGACGGACGAACGGACGGACGGACGGACGGAAAATTGTATACTATAATACGTCCCGTGAAAGACTTTCAATTCTAAATACAAAACAGCGTTATTTTATTGATATTACTCCGTGGCTTTGTTCTTCAATTAACAGTTGTGGCGTGATCGTCAGTTTTCAAAGAATTCCGCGCAAACCGGCTCTAGTTGCCGACTTAAACTTGCAGTGAAGAGAGAGTATGTTTGCTCCGTGATGAAAGCATCAACGTGACTTTCAGCTGAAGAACAGCAATAAAATCGCTGTTTCTTTGTTTTTTGTGTTTTTTACTTTGCATGGACTCATTTTGTGTCATGGATGGATACCCCATATCCTTTCGTTTCTATTAGAATCATGAAAATGCATTTAAAAATTCGTCAAAGATACCAGATATAATATATTACGCCAGACGCGCGTTTAAACTACATGAGACTCATCAGTAGTTCTCGAATCAAAACAATTGAGAGGCCAAATCAAATACGAAGTTGAGGAGCAATTAAAAACCACAAAAATCACACCAGTTTGTGATAAATATGACTTAGGCAATCGATTCCTTGGTGTAGATAAACCTTAGTATTTGAATAATTCAATATTTTGTAAACAGTACAAAAATTAACGACTTACGATATATTTTGTCAACATATAAGTGCTGACTTATGGGTTGGTGATAACTACTAGAATGAAAGGTCAATCAGTAGTGTCATGGACGCAGTGGTTGTAAAAAATACATCAACGATAGCTTGTAATTTGGTACTCCAGACGCACATTTTGTTTACATAAGACTCATCATTGGCACTCGACTAAAAACAGTTGGAGGTCGCTATATAAGGCTGATATATTAACTTTCTTTCAAAGTGATTTGTTTTTTTCATACACAGAAACAATTCATTTATTTCTTGCTTCATGCAATTACAATTATATTTGTATTGTAACTGGACTGTGATTTCGTAAGTTTATATCTAGATTAGTCAATGATTTTTATTTCACATTATAAATGAGCTGTAGTGCGTATTTAAACCTAACCACATCGTTAAAATAGTGGAGGATCAAAATCCTGAAACCCGTTGCAGAAAATGATTTTGACGGTTTCTATAACGTATTTGGGAAAACCTTTCGGAATTTTGGCATTTTTAACGTTTTTGATTCGAAAGAAATACGAAGTTGAAGAGCATTGAGGACCCAAAATTCAATAAGGTTTTGCAAAATACAGTTAAGGTAATCTATTTCTAGGATAGAAAATCCTTAGTGTTTCGAAAAATTCAAAGTTTTGTAAACAGTTAATATATAACTTTGACCAAATCAATGATAATTCATAATTAACTGTTGATTTTTTTTTAATTTGGTGCTTTATTTAGGCTGTACAATATGACAAATGGTCTGCGTGTTGTCCGGATTGTAGGAGTTATATATTCCGTATTTTTAACATCAGTTGACAAAAGTGTTGTTTCTGTTCTTGTTATCTGAGATTCTGTAGAATTGTAGGAGTAAATTTGGCTCGTCTTTTCTTCTGTTTCTAGTGGAGTATTTGATGTTCTAGCTGGTTGTGATGGTGATATAGTCAGCGCTATCGTAGTGGGCGCTCTGTTAAAACTTGTATTAGATGCAGCAGCTTTTATAGCGTTTAATAAAGGGAATTTTCCCTGTCCGCAATGATTACCAGAGCAATCATCAAGGTCGTATGTCCAAAACATTATACCTCCTAATCCCATGGCTTTGGCGTATTTAACCTAGAAGACAAATTCAAAAACTTCTGCAATTTCTGATGTAATTGCAATCACAAATGATACCAGACTCAGTCTTAATGACTCATAATAATAAATGTCATTTTAAGAAAACAGGTTTGAAAATTCACTTCACAAAACTTATTCACGTTTTCCTATTTCAGCTATCTAGATGTGTTTTGTTTATGTATCTGTCTTCATTTTCTGTTTTCTGGTTCATTCAGGTAAAGTAAGGGAATACTCATGATTACACCAAACATCGTAGAGTAATTTTAGCATAGATCGTCAAACTTCGAGATTTTTTTTTACTTCTTATATTGTGGTTTTCATCTTAAAAATAACTGTTCATAGTTATTTGTATTTGCACGACTGTTTCTGGTTTTTTTAAGGAATTGGGTAGTGATGGGGTCTTTTGTAGTGTTCAGTATTTCTGGTGACCCCTG